GGGGGGGGTTTGGCAGGGGAGGGGGGCGCACTGTGGAACCTAGCCTTAGGGCAGCAAAGAGAGTAAATCCGGCCACGCAATCAAAGACCGTCTCACAGGCATACATACACATACAGGGCCAATTTGGACAGAAGTCAATTAACCTACCAGCATGTCTTTGGATTGTGGAAGGAAACCAGAGTACCTGGGGAAAGCCTGTGCAAGCAAAGGGAGAACATGCAAACTCCATGCACATAAGATTCAAAACAGGGACCTAGGTGCTAAAAGGCAGTAGTACTAACCAGTAGGCCACTGTGATTACAGTGATACCTCTACGTAGCAGAGAGAACTGCTTCTTTATTCTCTAACCAGCAGGTTTTAGGTAGAGAGGTGACACCAATGTATGCTTTAAAGTCAAAACCTTTTCTTCAGCTTTGGATAGAGTAAAGAAGAGAGTTATAACCGCTGGCAGTGTTTATTTTGTGCCATATGTGTCCCATTGGGGAGATTTCTCTTCTCTTCCTGTCCGATTACCACAACAGGAAGTGAGAGAAAAACTTTCCAAAGAGAGGGCAATCCTTGCTGGTCAGCAGGGGCACCAGAACTAGTGCACCCATTGGAGGATTTTTCATCTATTCTTGGGTTTTCCCCAAATGTGGTCTTTTCTTTCACTTTCACTGAGAACAATTTTGACTTATCTGCTGTGTGTCTTTAGTGATCTGCATGCAGCTCAGTTTTAATGAGGCAGCCCATGGGAGCCCAGGGAAGTATCAATCATCTTCCATGGTCAGGAGCTCCTTCCCTCTTGACAAAACTGGAGGTTCCTAAAAAGGCCATTATTACCAGAATACAAATTGTTCTATCTTGCAGGAACTCTGACGACACTCCACTACTGACTTTCCATAATGTGATATAAAGAATGCTGCAGTAAGACATAAAACACTAATAATCGTCCCCTGCAGAAGGTTAGAGACAGAAACTCTGAAGTTGGGACCTCAATGATGGGAGTCGGAGTTAGAATTGGCTGGATGTAAATCAGCCCGGCACCATCTCCACACAAAATGGGAATTTTGCTTTTTGGATGAACTTGCTAATTAAAGCGCAACTCCATCTTTTCTACTTCAATGGAATTTCTATAGGTATGATAAAGGATCTCATTATAAATGCAGATTACAGAAGGTAGAAAATTATACATTAGTCTCAGGCTAATCTCCTTAGACTCCTTCAAGCACAGACATTACCAGGATGAAGCTGGGCAGCGTGATAATTGAAGCATGGCTCTCTCAATTTTATCATGATGCAAAGCTAGTGGTGTCTGCAGGATGTACACAGCAACCATAATTCATTGTCAGAACAGTTCAGTCCATAGACAGTAGACTACAAGAAGCTCATAAATAAATGTATGGATTTATTTAATGAAAAAAAAAAGATTTGTACTCTTCGTGAGATCTAATATGGTCATTAATATTTGTTAAAATGAGTAAATTAATTTATACTTTTTTTTGAGGCCTAGTGCGTACCAGTTAGGTCGCGGACATCCTATTCGCCGTGATGTATCCTTGCAGATAAGGAGGCAGTTACAAGGACACCTGACATACTTCTTCCCTGAGGGAGGGGTTTTGATTGGCTGAAATGAAAAAGTACAAGGGGGAGTAATTACTTGAAGCAAATATGAAGAAGGCATATGAAGAATTAAAATTCTGTTTGTAACCCCCTCTTACACATGTTCCATTTGCTTTGTATTTTTTGTGCTTCTCATACCTGAAAAAGTACTGTAAAGTAGTAGTCACACTACCTTCCTATTCATTCCAATAGGGCTTGTAGCACTGGTCTGTGGGAGTACAATGGTGCCTACACGTTACCCACATGTGACATGTGACGCTCCTCTGTGGCTTCCTCTCCCGGCATTCCATGCTGCCTCTAAAAGGTCTTGTGAGATAATGTTTGTAGGCATGTCCATTCTTGTCTTAAGCTCACAATCAGTTAAAGATGAATGCAGATGAAATTCACATAGTCCAGAGGGCTACAGGAGTTGTAGCCATGATGGCCAGGACAGAGAGGAAGAAGATGCATGACAGCGGGCATCATCCAACCCAAGAGGTTAGAAAGCGACCCTAGCATGGGTAAAGGGATGAAAATGGAGTCAAAGAGCTGAGGACAGAGTTGAGCTGTAAATTTCTTATTTTTTCCTCTGAGGGCTACAAAATTGTACTAATGTGCGTCTTCATTAAAGTGACATTAAATCCTCAGATTTTTTAACATAAACCAATACTGTAATGTGTGCCTTACTGTAATGCATGGTTGTTTCCCTTCTCTTTGCTGCTCTTCCTTTTATATTCTCATGTCTTCTAATGCTTGGGAAGAACTTCCCTTTGCAGCTGAGTGCCTCTTCCTGTAGTGCTGGCTCAGGTTGTGTACCTACACACAGAAACCATGTATCCATTTCAGGGATAAGGCAGTCTGCTGCAAAACAGAAGTTCTGCCCAGCATGAGAACAGATATAGTTACATAGTTACATAGTATTTGAGGTTGAATAAAGACATTAGTCCATCAAGTCCAACCTATTAGGATCTCATTCTAGGAGTACCTGTACCCCTGTATATTACCTGTACCCCTGTATATTACCGTCCCTTAAGAAATCGTCCAAAAGTTTCTTGAACAATTCCACATTATTTGCTGAAATCACCACCAGTGGCAGTGAGTTCCAGACCCTAACTGATCTTACTTGTGCTGGAATTTTTTTTCCACCAATTTTAGGTGATGGCCTCTAGTATCCCACATCTGGTCTGTGTTTAGGTTTTGAAAGATACAGATTTAAAAGGAAGAGCAGCAAAGAGAAGGGAAACAACCATGGATTACAGTAAGGCACACATTACAGTATTGTTTTATGTTAAAAAATCTGAGGGTTCAATGTTACTTTAAGCCTTCATTTACATCTCTGCCATTCAAAAAGCTTAATAGTGCTTACTGCAATTTTTTCAAAAATTGCATGGCACCACATTACATGGTAATAGGTTACCATGCGATGTGGTGTGATACAATGCACATTTGATGACTTGGCATCCCAGTGCAGCTAACATTGTAACATGAAATGTGGGATTGTGTATGACCTTGCACGCGCTCCTGTATTGCATAAATGGGAACGGAGCCATAAAGGTGGCCAGCAGTGCATGCATAATTTGTCTGCTAAGTATTTTTTCATAAAACAAAGATGCAATTCTACAGCAGCCAAATGTGCATGTTTGTTCCTTTGCAGGGTACTCGGGGATCCCAACCTGAAAGAAGTAATTTCAGGGAGGTGTCCCCTCCCCCCTCCCTCCCATCCACGGAGGGGGGGGGGGGGGTTGGGGGGGGGGGGGGGAAAACCCAGCCCCTCCCCTGCCACGGCAGAGAGCCGTGACAGGATCGAGAGGTGAACGAAC